GTCGCCGAACTCCCTGTTCATCGCCAACACCGAGGACCCTTACTTCAAACTGTGGCAACCGAACGCGGCGTCGCTGACCGTCACCAACGATGGCAAGACCGACGAAAACTGGCTGAAAGACCCACATCATCTACAGCCGCCACAGGTGATGATAAAGGCGATTTCTTCCGAAGGCGGTGGTCCCTGCGACCGTGATCCTAAGTTGCCGTCATTCAGCGGTATGCCTATGGCCACGCCAACCGTCGCCGAACAATACATGCCGACGAACCTTCAGCCCCTGCTGTCGCAAGAGAACGACTATTCTAAACTGCCGATGCTCATGTCTGAGATGGGCGTTCAGCAGCAGCAACAGCAGCAGCAGCAGCAGCATCCGTTGCCAGCCCTCTCGCAGCTATTCGAGCTCGGACAAGGTCCGTTCAGCTATTCGACATCCACTGGCACGGCGACTACCATCAGAGCCCCCGACAACGGTCACCAGCCCCCGCCGCCAGTGCTCCAGTCGAACGTCGCCTCCAACCCTGGTCATTTCTCGTTGTTTGGCAACTCGCTGAATCCATGGGAATATCCGAAATGGTCAAAAGATGGCGGCGGCTCCGGCAGTCATTAGTGATTCGACCGATGGCAGTCGCTCGCCAGCAACTTCTTCCTTATTTATTTTATTGTTGTGCGTATTCAGAGTAAACATTTTCTATGACTGCGTACATATCGTTTCGTTTGATCAGTCGGTTTGGTTATCACGGTTACGTGGCTAGTGTTTTTTTTCTCTCGGAAAATTGTAATTTTAAATTATTTTAAAAGTGGTAATTGATCTAGAATGTCGAGCATATTTTCTTTGTCACATCTACCTAGGACCCTCTGCAGCGTATTTACTTACCCGTGACACCCTAAACTAATAACATTTTGTTGATGGGTTAGTGTATGAGTTGTTTTGCTTCCGCATATGAACAACTGGTAGAAACTGAAATTTTTTTGCCAACGGACGTTTAATGCAATTTTTGTATTGGGCATGACTAAAAATGAGAACCGTGTTTAAACTCTCACGATATTCATCTCCAAATCAGAAAGTACGATTGAAAGAAGAGTACCTCGGACTGCCGGTCGCGAAGCTTGAAAAAAAGTCTAATCTCGGTTGCCCTAAAAAGGCAGTGATGACTGAGACACCTAAATTCCTTCCGAGAAGATCTCATGGGGCATTGTACAAAGGATCAAGATTTCGCCCTGAACATTATCCGTGCATAGTTGCTGACAAATCATCTCATGCATCGTTTTTCAAGCAGATTTCCAAGGAATTGACCTTAACAACATGATCGTTTCATAAAAAATCCTTTTTTCCGTTGTTCATATGCGGAACCAAGCATGGTGTTAGAACCCAAGGATATGATGAATGACATGGCAAGAAGGTACCATCAGGTCAGCAACTGCTTGTGGCAAGTTGCCCGTCTAAGGTGCACCAGGCAAAAATTATTTTGGATCTGTTGATTGCCATAAGGAAACCGATTGATTATTTGTACTTCCGTTTGTCATTATTCGTTTGTTCAATCTTGAACGCGAACATCTGTCGACTGTCCAGTAACTTGTACATCATTTTTAATATATTTCTAAATTATGCCGATTTGTGTCTGTATTCGTCGATTATACTCTTGTTTTCATGAGCGACTTATTTTCGCTTTATTGACCCTTGAAGTTGATTAAATTTGACTGAATTGATGTCGCAAAAGAGACTCACAATGCTAGCTTTAGGCAGAACTGCACTGGATTACTTACCTCCAAATGTTTGAGTCATTGAATTGAATATCTGGTATTGCCATCTTCTAAAATTCATTGTGCAGCACTTTCTGAATTTACTGCATCAGGATAATTGAAAAATTTTCATTCATTTGTGTACACTGCCAAAAAGAAATTATAATGCTTTGAAAATGAATGAAGTTTTCTTTAATTGTATCATACTAGGTATTGTATATTGTAGCTTATTGGAGTTTTCGTGTTCCGCTTAAAGTTTGGCCATGAGTGAGGAACAAGACGAACACAGTGACAGTGATGATGATGAACCAATGGACAGTGACGAAGATGAGGTGGTTAAGTCGGACAAAGCTGAAACGGCTGAATTTGACGAGGAAATGTTTCCGGTGCTCGGAAGCGCAGTCGCTGATACCATAGATCAGAGGAAGGATCATTTGAACGTCCAAGAAGCGTCCAAGTGGTATTCTGAAAGTGTGCCCGTGTCTAACAGCATCACCGCCGATCAGGTGCCATTGGAAAAGTTCGTCGACACTTTGGATCACTCGGTGATCAGTAACTTCACGGAAATGGGCATAACGCATTTGTTTCCCGTGCAAAGTCTGGTTATTCCGGAGCTGATCAAGTCTTTCAAGAGCAGAGCTTTGTTGCCTCCGGCCGATTTATGCATCGCCACCCCGACCGGAAGTGGCAAGACACTATGCTATGTAGTGCCGATCGTGCAGACCCTGATGAAGCGCGTTGTCCCGCGCATCAGAGCCATCGTCCTTGTGCCTACATCACAGCTCGGTCAGCAGGTATTCGAGGTGTTCCTTTCCTTCACCAAAAACACGAAACTAAAGTAAGTCCGTGCATGCGTGTCATTGTCATCGATACGGAAATGCGCCTTTCTAGGGTTCAGTTCCTGCGAGGCACGGTTAACGCGTTTCGTGAACGAGTCACCTTCAGCAACCGTGGCTGCGCATTCATGGCCGACATAATTGTCTCCACACCGTCTTACCTGCGTAGTCACATAAAAGGCTGTAGCGAGAGGGCGTTTGATCTTCGCCATCTCAGGTACTTGGTCATCGATGAGGCTGATCGGGTGTTGTCCGTTTGCGACCCTGACTGGATCGAGGTATGATGCTTCATTTGCTGCATTGTTCAGTGCTAGTGTATGAAACTGTTAAAGGCATCAGTCTAAAGGTTTGTAACGTTTACTAAAAGAGTACATAAAGAAGGAGTAGGAAGTAAAACACTGTTCAAGGAATACGTCTCTGATCTTTGCTTCCCGTTTCAGTGCTCAAGGCAAAAATTGAAAACGACGTAATAAAATTCTTCATTTGCCGACGAGTTTCAGTGCATAAAGAATTTTGCGTTTTTCTTTTCCTACCTTGAACCGTGGATCGAGAAGCAACCCGTCGATACCTTCTGTAACTAAAGATAAAAGTATTGTAACTAAAAGTTTTCTGATTCAGTGATTATAGACACAACGAACATTCGAAATCGAAACACTGTGACGGAGTCAGCATTTCGTACTACACCAGTATTGCCAATCATCATGTCATGCTCTATGATGGAACAGAAGATTGTTTACTGCATATGCAGCAACACTGAGTATACTTAGCTGTTGTAAATTAGGCAGAAGATAATATCGTAATGACCAAAGTTGTAGAATTAGCTTACAGCACAGATTGCACATCCTTAAAGCAGCCAGTGAAAGATTTTGGTTCTGGATCGGCTATCAACTCAGCTTATGCTTGACTAACGCTTCAAATAAGTGTGCTGCTACATCCTACTTTTTTTAGTTTTGCGTGTTTGAAAAGGTGAACTGTTCTAATAGTAGTTTTTTGTTAAGATTTTGGAAAACGCGGTGTTCCGTCAGGAACGGGTTCGTGATCCAGACTGGTACAGCAGCGCTAGCAAAGGGTGGTCCGTCAGACTGCCACCGTTAATTGTGAATCGGCAGCGCTTGGGTTGCCGAAGCGTGAGCAACCTACAGGCCGTTGGTCGACTGCCCCTTCAAAAGGTGCTGCTGTCGGCGACCTTAAATTTGGATCCGGACGTCTTGAAGCACCTCAATTTGTATCGTCTCAAGATGTACTCCGTCGGCTCTAGTAGCGTAGATAATCAGGGCGCAGCAGTCTTGGTAGAGCACAAGAGGCTGCCCATGGTTTCGTTGCCCGAAGGACTTGATGAACGCTACTTGGTCTGCGGCGCACAAGAAAAGCCGCTTGTCATCTACTCGCTGTTGAAACGATTTCCGTGGAGCCGAATCTTCTGCTTCACCGAAACACTTGAGCACAGTCGTCGCCTGGCCGCACTCTTAACACTGATGAAGCTTGACAACGTCGAAGAACTGTCCGGTTCCCTAATGCACTACAGACGGACGAAGGTCATCAAAGACTTTCAATCTGGCAAAGTGAGTCGTGAGAGAGTGACATAATTTAGTTAGTTAAAACTGTATGAATGTTCTGAACGCTAATATTTCATATTTCAAGGGTCGCCTGTACTTCAGTTCCATTGTTCATGCTTTAATCTCCGTAACAGTAGCTGCCTTCCAGCACATCTGTTGTTACTAGCACCGTCAGCTGAATTGAGACACCCTAAATGATAAGAACTCTATAATCCATGACTTGTGGAGATTTTGTCTACTGTTAATAAATGTTAATATGGAAGAATTTCCTGCAGAGCTCAGAACCCAGCGAATGAGTTCCTGATTGCTTGTATTCAGAGTTTGCTCTTGAGGAAATGGGATAGTGACGCAGTGGGTTAGTAGTTTGCTCTCCTCGCGTGTTGTATATTTTATTGATCAAGGAATTCACTCCATTATGCCTCCATGCAACCAGCCGAAAAACGGTAACAGGTTGTTGACCTGTGAATCATAGGGACAGCATGGTGTTTTGATATGATCTTGCGAAAGCGTACGAGATATACGGCTGTGCTATCTGATGCGTGCTCCATACGACTACATTTCGTTTCGACCTACCTGATAGCTGATTAAAAATTACTTCAATGTGTAAATGTGGATTTAAAAAAAGTTTAATGATAATCTTTAATTTATTTCCTCATTATTTCCTTGCTTTTTCTTAATGCAAATGACTTTGGACGTGACATTTGATATGATACACATGTATTTTTCTGCGACGCTTTGGTTTCCGGTACAGAACCCATTATCAGAAATTTTCATTTTTCCAAACCTAAGAATGCGGTATGCAGAAAAATTGCTTACAGTCGTGGTTTAAATTCGGGCAGGCAAATGTACAGCAGAACTTGAAAGAACTTTACTGATAGGATGAACCGAGTTTCAGAAATTATTGAATGGGTGTTTTTTATTTTTGGCTGCATTGTATATTTACAAGCAGAACCGATATCGGTTGAGCTAGTGCTGTTGTTGGAAATCCTTTCCTTGTTAATTGAAGTTCCTTCTAACGGCATCTTGGTGTTCTTTTGTTCGCTTGTTAAGAATCCTGTTTTATCATTTTACACTGAATCGGTTTTTTCACAGTTCATCTGATAAGCTACGTTAGATTTGTCATAGTTAACTTTTGAGTATTATTACATGTACTGGATTGATCCTACCGGGTTGCTTGTTTTAGAAAAAGCCTGGAAGCTTTGTTTTTGGAAATGATATTTAAGTGCATGAGGGATGCCAGGACTAAACAACAGATGCTTTACTGAACACGTTAGGATGTACAAAGACACCAGCGCAGTTGATATCTTTTCTTCTTGGAAATCGGTAATGCAGCCAAACTATAAAACCATCTTATTAACTTTCACTACTTTCTTGACTGCTTCAGTTTCAGAACCCAGTTCATCATCTTTATAAAGTTCTTTCAAGTTCTATTTTACATTTGCATGCTCGCTTGCACCACGGGTGTTTCGTAATTTTCTGTACGTTACTATTGAATTGTGTGCTGTATCCCTATGTTTATACATCTTTCTCTGTTGATGGCTTCTGTGCCGGATGCCGAAACGTTGGAATAGAATAAATAAGTGTCTTATATCACGCCCAAAGCCGTTTGCAGTGTATGTTAAAAATAACGTTCCGAAAATTTAATTTGACTTTGGCTAAAAGATAAGTAAAGAATGTTTTGGAAAAACCGACTTAGGTTTAGGCAAACCTAGACTTTGTCGTCATCATGGTTATCATATTCTGTTCACTGACCACGCTGTCCCTCTTGTCTTATTCTGTTTTGCTTGTCTCTATATCCTGCAATGAACTGTTTTTCTGACAAGACCGACTTACAAAGGTTATTGTATACCCTATTTGACTTCCTTACTACTGAACCCATGTCACTCCAGGCCGACCTGTCAAAAGACCTACATAATCTAGAAAATAAATGCGGCCATCGTTTTCATGACTGTCGCCGTAGGCACATTGATTACTTCTGTCATCTCTGTGTATGTTTGGCATTCCATTGTGAATTACCATACAAAAGTGATAAAACGCTGACCATAGTAGAACCGAAAAAACAGTGGATCACGAAAAGAGAAAACAAGGAGGCTGAATTCATCATTCACACTAACTGTTGAAGCTTTCAAGTGGTTGGCATTATAGGTTGAAGATGGCCGGTCTCAAGCCCGGATGAGAAAGGAGGAGAGTTGGAGACCGTGGCAAATCTCCATAAAATTCAGCCACCTGCCACTCATGGTATTGACGCCTTCGAAAATTATACCGACTCGGTCGTCGCCCGGGTTACCAAGGGCCGCGCAGGCTGTTGGGGGACTGAGGCAGACTG